GAGCCCATCCATAGGAACACTTGTGTGCCGTTATCTAAAACCATGATATCGTCGTCGATGAGGTCGTCCTGACAGAAGTCGCTGCACTTCTCGGACACCGCGAAGTATCCCCTCTCGTTAGAGCACCGGAACAGTCGTGAGTAACGCATGTAAGCGGCGTCCCTCTCGTACGGCTTCTGTCCGCCCAAATGTTGCCAAAACTGTGGCGGCTCTTCGCCCTCACCGATGATCGATATGTCGAAGTAGTCCGAGTCGTACATCTGAAGGGCCATCTCTTCGGCGATACGGGCCTCGTCTTCGTCGGCTTCGGCGCCAATCCATACGTATGTGATTCCCATCTCGTTGTTCCCATCGGACGGTAATTTCAATATATAACAAAAGGCAGAGTTTAGCGCCAATGCGTTGGCGTCAATCTGTATGCACCGGAGGGTCAATGGATTGCTATTTGAGCGCAAGTGGAAGAACTCCACTTCGTTGGGACGGTAAGTGTTGGCCGCGCCGGGCGTTCGCTTCCCCTTATGTACGATAAAGTGCTTGAAATGGGAGAGAAATTTCAGATTCTCCTGTTGTTGATGTGTTTTCGTCACTTCCAGTTTGTCGGCAAACATGGACTCAAACTTCTTCTGCAAACTGAACGTAAAGGTGAGCCAACCCATGTTGGAGGCGTCCCTTCCCTGCCAGAAGTACACCACGCAATGGAAGTCGTCCTCAACGTCTTCGTCGTTGTCTTCGTTGGACGTGTTCTCCGACTCGAGTGGAACCCAATAGCGACACAAAAACACATAACAATTGCCGCTATAAAAGTGACCGAATTCTTGTTCCGGTAGTTTCACAAACTTCTTGCCCTCCAATACAAACGCTTCCATCGCCTCGAGATCTTCGTTCCACTCTTCAGTCAATTGATTGGCTTCTGTTTTAGACATCGACGGCTGTCGTGGCATAAAAAGTGCCGACAAATCGATCTTCATTTGATGGCTTGACACCCATTTAGTCAGATCGGCGCCCGTTTTCTGTACGGACTCTGCCGTTCGAGTGAAGTCCACTCCAACCACGTTATCCCAACTGATGAATTTCGATTTAAATGTTTGCGTTTCAGTGCTATTCAAATGGAGATTAATAGAGAGAAGGGATTAACAATCAATATATAAATCAACACTTCATATAAGGTTACCCTTCGAGACAACGAACAACAACAGCGAACTCCGCGCGGCTAACCATTGAAAATAACTCTTGCGCTAACTTCAGGGCCGCGGCTCTCACTAAACGGGCGGACTTTCTTCCAATCCTATGAACAATAATAAAGATTCTGATAAATAAGAGTAACACTAAAACTATTAAATGCTCAATAATTACCAAACAAAGACATCGGAACGACAGTCCATAATATAAACATTTTTGGTATCAAAATGTTTTCGGGTCAATGTTTTTGGCTTATACTCGACTTGTGGTAACTCTAGATAACCCATTCC